AGTAGGGAAAGTGAATTTTTCTCTTGAAATTAATTGTTGATTTGGACTTTAATTGAAATCTTGATTTTAATCCCCACTAAACATGGATTTAAAATTTTCACAACAGTTCAATTACGTGATCATCGTAAACTCTTTCATTTTATAGTTATTTGTAACATATATTTACTTTTTTAATTTATAAACGAAAAAGTAATATTGTCTCTATTTATATCTAGCTGCAAAAATAGGTAGAATCCCTAAAACTAAAATTATAAGTTGATTAATCTACCAGTCCACAAATATTTTCCACTCAGCTAGCTCCACTGATAGTTGCTTATAAGTTGTTCCATTTGCATAACTTTCCAGTTTCCACTACAAGAGGTTAGATGACTATTTCTCTAACCATCCACCAACTTTTGTCCTCTCAAATCACAAAGGTTGCTGAATTTGTAGATGAATATTTTAGCAAAGGAATGTGGATATTGAGTTGAGGCCGTTGAGTGTGACGCGCTTCGGATAGTTTAGAGTCGGATTTTAGTTTATGATTGTTGAATAATGTTAGTAGTGATTCGTGTCGATTTGTTCTTAGTGATGGGAATAAAGTTACTCATGAGCTTGAGTAATCTGATTGTTCACATATTGGTCTAGTACGGGTACTCCTTTCTTTATCTCGACTGCACTTCGCGGCAATTTGGTTGAATGAATACATTAGACCCTTGTATGGTTTTCAAGAGAAGGGGAAAAAAATGGTGAAAGATGACAAAAACAAATAAGCACCTGATTGACATTTAATCTTGATGTGAATATGACAGGGTATTAGCTAATTTTACACTGATAAAAAGCCATTATCATTTGTATTCTCAGATCTCATCTTTAGTTTTTCACTAGCAAAAACAAAGTCCAGGTTGTAAAGGATAGGAACCAATGTGATAGAACAGAAGAAAACCAGGACAGGACCAAAAATCCACAGCACAAGAGGGAGTGCTGCATAGAACAATCTATTTCCTATCGTGTTGAGCATAAACCCTTTCTCGAGAAGCCCTGACACATATCCTGGAGTGACGATGGACGAGTTTTCTTGAGGACAGTTGATGAGGAAATTCACCTGGCCGATGAACCTGATCGAGAGGGAGTGACATAGGAACGAGAAGAGGAAAATGAAGAGGAGAGTAACATATTTTAGCGCTACCATGAATTCTCCGTGCGCCCCATAAACGGAGTCATTGAGTGGCTTCTTAACGCTGTAAGTACTACTTATGACGGCTGCTAATCCCGAGCAGAGAAGGATCGATGTGGTGGCCATGAGAGTTGCGCCCATGATCGTATTTCGCAGTGTTTGGACAGCCAAAATGTTTTTCTTGTCGTTGTCCTGCATCATTAGAAGTTTTGAGTTCAAATCGCGTTATCACTTGCTCATGTGTGTTGACCACATAATTCAAGTAAATAATGTTATCCTTTCTCTCATATTTTACCTTTCTCTCATATTTTAAACTTTTAGACTAGCAGAAACAAGGAGGCAAACTTATAATGTGGTTGCCTTTTTACTGTATTTTGGGACATTTTTCTCCAAATATTGCATATATTTTCACTGTATATATCTCTCTCAAACAGAAAAGAGGCACTAAGTGATTGTATATACACATACATAAGCACTTAAGAAGTATTTGTGTACAGTTTTTTCCTCTATATGAACATAGAATAACAGCCACAGATTTATTTTTTGGTGGATGCCTATCTACCACCATTAACTAAAATGGAATTTGCAGTGTAAACCAGCATATTTTGTGCATCTTCAGACAAAATAATTTGATATTGTTCCCTTGTAAAACTTGAATGGATAAGGTGGAGAAAGATTTGGATTTGTGCGATTTTTTAATGCGTACAACAATGGATATATTAAAGATGAACAAGAACTTATTACTCTACCAAATGTGTTATGGAAACAGTCGCGTAGATGTAACTTAAGAAACCAAAATAGGGTTCTTTAAATATTACTTTATCAAGGCAGAACCCATCAAAATAAATGAAAAGAATTCTCCAAAAAGGAATTTTGTGTAAAATATTACACACACACACGCACACAGAGTTACACATATGTTACCTTCATCATAGCAGAAACCCAAAACCGACGACCACTGGCATTAGTTCCAATGATGGTTGAGAATGGCTGTGTTCGAACCTTATGCCATAGCCATAGATGATACCCCATGCATATTAAGAACCCCATTGGCACAAGTATAACATCTAAATAACATTTCTTCCATTCCATTTCTCTCTCTCTCTCTCTCTCTCAAATATCTTACTACGTTTGTGTGTAAATTCTGATATTCTCTTCTTTGCTCAGTGGATGAAGACACAGATATATATACACGCAGACACTGTTTGGCAGGGAAAATGAACATAGACTGGTTTAAATGCTATATGCGACTTAGGAAAAGAAACGAGGAAAAGCAATCCCACTTTCTTTATATATGTATTTATGTATACATGCATGTATTTTGTGGTAATTTTCAGTTTTGTTTCTTTGTTTTTTCCCTTGGACATGATAGGATTTTCCTATGTTGTTTTGTTTATTCACGAGAATAGCAATCCAACTGTGGTTAAAGCAAAAACGTGCACGTGAGTTATGACGGTTTAAATTACATTTAAATGTAGCGATTTAAATTTGTAGATGACGTGAATTGATGGAGCAATTCGAGAGACAAGTTATTAACTCTAACTCCATATTTAGCAAAGGCGGTACTATCCAAAATTTCCTCCTAATTCCAAGCATTATAGTTTAATGAAGAGAAATGCTACATCTACATTCTTTTTACACATACATTTTGATAGCCCTCTCACATGGGCAGCGGGGCCCACAATCGGGGCCTCACACCCATGTGAGAAGGCTGTCAAACTTACTGTGTAAAAAGATTGTACATTCAGCTTTTTTCTTTAATGAAACGTTCGATTCTGATTCGTGAACAAGAATAATCGAATATTTTGGTTTTACTTCTCTTCACACTTAATGAAGAGAAGTAAAACCCTCTCATTGGTTTTAATGAAGATAAATGTTATATCTATAGCATTTTTACACATACATTTTGACAGCCCTCTCACATGAGGGGTAAGGCCTACAATCGGGGCCTCACACCCATGTGAGAGGGCTGTCAAATTTATTGTGTAAAAAGATTGTACATTCAGCTTTTTTTCTTTAATGAAACGTTCGATTCTGATTCGTGAACAAGAATAATCGAATATTTTGGTTTTACTTCTCTTCACACTTAAAAATTCATTTTATTTTTGTTTATCTAAATTATGTGCATTTATATTCGGTCCAATTTATCAAACATAAATCTTATATGTTACAAAATGTTCCTCTACTAAACCTTAGGATTAATAAATTTCTTAATATTGAACCTAAGAGTTACTATCATTGATGCTTGTAAAGGTCATTCTAAGTTCCACGCCTCATTATATTTTTATTTCAGACACTTGAGTCAATGATGAAACTCTAACAAGGGAATCATTGGAATAAGTACTATCACTACTCACTAGCATCAATTTGAACCAATGATGTCAACTGCTTTCCTCCATTTCTTTTTAACTTTTTCATATTACATATCTTCAACTCAAAATTTCTCGAGTCGAAATAATTGGATCGAATCAAAACTAGACCGCCTATTTTGCTTAGATTTTTTATTTTTTTTTTAAAGAAATTGACATAAATTGCTTAATTGACTGTCATCCATTAAATTATCTTCCACGAAATCCCTATGTGGCACTTTAGAAATGAAATGGTAAAATGAAGGTTTCGATAATGTCTTTAGACTCAAAGGTGTAAAGGTATTTTTTTTTATTTTAATATTTTGTACAGTGGTAAGTTGGCACGCCACGTGGTAAGTTGGCACGCCACGTGGTAATTACATGAAAGATTAGGTCATGTTTGGTCCAGATTAAAATCTGATTTTAATTCAAGTCAAAGTCAAACAATCAATATTAACCACATCTTTCATGGGTCCCACAACTTTTCAACCGCACATTTCAAAAATTTCTATCAAAATCTACTAAAAATCTAATTTTAATCTCTATCAAACACCCTCTTATTGTGGTGTGATTGTCAATTAACCAGTTTTTATCAATTTAGAAGACTAAATTGATTTTCAATGATCCATTTGAAATTTTACTGATAGTTTAACTACCGCAAATAAAAGTTATCCATATTTGAATGTCATACACCTCCAAAAAAAAAGGTTGAGAGAAAATCAGAAGAAATAGCCAAAGCCAAAGTTGATGGTGGACGTGGGTGGGTGGGTATCGAAAAATTAGTTGCAATATTATTTCAGAACAAGAAAATTAGAAAATTTATCAAACGATCGAGATTCGTGATAATATTATTTGCCATTAACTCTTTTCAATCTCTTTCGACAATATCTCTCAGGATACAAAGATCATATCACTTATTCAGCAAAAGCCAGCAATTTCCAAAACTCTCAATATTACTTCAAAACCATATCTCAACAAATAAAATAATACTAAAATTGAGTTTTTAGAAATTATAGAAGTTCGACCTCTCACATAAATTGCACATCTTTTACTACTCGACCAACTCAATCTAATTATTTTTTTCAATTAAAATATGCACATGTTTGGTAGAGATCAAAATCTAATTTTTTATTAAAGTCAAAGCCAGCAATTAATTTTCATCATATATTTCATGAAACCTACAACTTTTCAACTACACATTTCATCGTTTTTTTATTAAAATCAGCTAAAAATCTGATTTTTATCTCCAACGGAGGTGGGGGTAAGGTTTAATGTCAACCTTGGTAATTTATTGCTAGTTGAGGGTCCATTTGTAAAGCTGAAAAATAAGTGTGAATCTGACTGGACAATTTGTTGGAGGAAAAAAGGAAAAAATGCAAGAGATAAGAGGTGGCCAAGCATGCAATTCTCATGAAGGAAAGCACCAAACTTGTAATACTCTTTGTGTGTTAATGGGCCGTTTCATTTTCCTCATTATATTATTAGAGTTGTCACTTTACACGACGCGTTATCAAAGATAGTGCCATACACGTACCATTTTCTCATAATTTCTTGTTTATTCATTTTTTTGTGTGTGGTTTGTTTATTTGTTGATTATGATTGGCAGTCTTTTGTATTGGAATTAATCATGCAGCATTATCATTAAGAAGAAATTATAGTACAATTGTACCAAGAATTTTACGGTAAATTTCGAGAGTCAAAGGAATTGATAATGAGTTGTACTTGACGTAGGACGAAAACGTTAATAATAATAATAAAACAAGTCTGATTCGTAGCATATCAACTGAAGTTAGTCGAATTTCGCTCGAATGAACGTGAAAAATACGGAAATCCACCAGATAATGGGAAAAACTGAATTATTATTAATAAGAAAAAAAAAAGACGGTAGGGTTTTCAACCATTAACACATCTTTAAAGAGTCGAAACCAATCATAATAAAAGCGAAACCCTAATTTGGTGGACAAATCTAAATAAACTCAAAAATTGCAAAACTGACGAAAATCCACTTAAATTGGCTCAAAAAAAAGAAAAAATGCTAAAATGGACCTCTAAACAATAAAATTTGACCCCCGAAGTTTGACGATATGAGTCACTTAGTAAAACTGTAGAGATTTAAAAAACACTTCCGGATTGTATTCGTTCGCATAAATTTGACATTCGAGCTGAAAGTTACACGCATTTTCGTCGATCATTCTTATTTCTACTTTTTTTCAACCTGGTTTAAGGTTTATCGTAGTAAGAAAACGAAAGCTTTCCATGACGTGACATTTGGTTTTCAAAAATAAATTTTTTCTTCAAATTTTTTTTTATGGCAACTAAAAAAGTTAGTTGTCATCGATATTGTACTACTAGCAATGGCTAATTTGTTAGGTGAGACGAATTAAATAGTTGTCACGTTATTAGCCATAATTGAATGTACCAACAATCGTAAATTATTTATAATTAGCATTTCATTAATCCATAATGCTTTTAGGCAAAGATAGAATTAAGTAAAGTGAATTCAAATTCTTGAAAATACTCTTTATGTTATTCTTTCCTTTTGTCATAGGGTATAAAATCGTTGCGTTTTGTATTGATCAACTCAACTATAGTCTTATTAAATGCCAAACTACGATTTAAAAAATAAAAATGAATAGGACAATGCTACATGTAGGGATGTTAACGAATCAAATCAAGCTGGTTCTCGAGCCAAAACTTGAAGCTTAAGCTCAAGTTGAGTATTGAATTTTTTTGGCCCGAACTGAGTCGAACTTTTGCTCAGCCAAAAAATTTAGACTTGACCAGAACTTTTGGTTCGTGCATTATCTAGCCGAGTCAAATCGACTCGTGATTTTTTATTTTTTATTTTTAGAAAAAAGGCGGCCACGTAACTGCCTGTTGCTTGGTATTGCAGGCAACTAGCTAGCAAAGCTTTACTTATTTATTTATTTTTTGTAAATTTGCTCACGGGCTGGCTCGGGCTCGAGCTCAGGTTTCAGCCCAAGTCTCGGCTCGGTACTATCGAGCCGCTAGCCGGATTGACTCAGGCATTTCTTAGGACGAGCCACTGGCCACTTGAGTTGGCGAGCCAAATTGACACTCCGAAGTATATGTACATCAAAGCTTAGAGAATGTCTTACATAATGTCACATGACACTCTGTCATTTACCAGTTTAAGACACGGTCAATTTTTTCATCCAATATTTTCTCTCCACATCATTTCGGTCATTTTTTTTTTTTACAAACAGCAAAATCCATAGAATAAATTGCATGTGTATTTAGAATGTGATATAAAATACGATTATAGTGTATGTGAATGACAAGAAAAATCCTCCACAACCTATTACGATTGTAATCTCTACTCGAGGGCCAAATCGTAAAAGACCATGTTCAACTCTGCCGGCCCATGCCTTATTTCTAGATGATTCGGGACCCAGGTAGAGCTCAAATTTTGGTCAAGCAGGTCGAGAAGACTGTAGCCTGTAGGCACGGATGGCTCGTTTGGAGAGTCCAAGAGCTAGATTTCCAAATTCAAGCCTAACTTGTTGTAATAAATATTTTTTTAAATAGATTTTTTTTTTTTTTGAAATTCTTTCACGTTCTATTTATAATTTGTCGTAAAAATAATGTATTTATAATTTGTTGTAAGAGTCTCTTGGCAAGCTCAGGCCACGAGCGGGACCAACTCCCACTTTTGGGCAGCAAGCCATGCCAACTTGACTCAAAGCCTAAGCTCGTATAGGAAATGAGTCAATTCGAGCCTAGATTTTGGGCCCATAGCCAGTTTAGACCGGTTGATTTTCACCCCTACTATAATGTCCTTCGACCAAAGAACCTGCCTAGCCTCAAATACACACACAATGCCCCCAAGCACACATGCCCTATGCTTAGGATCACGATGGGCTAGCCATATGATTCTCGTACATAGGGTGAGAACGGTCCAAGCCGAGCTATGACGGGCCACCCAAGTTCAGCGCGGCCCATTAAGTCTAGACTTTTCAATTTTCTAGATAGAATTTAAAGAAAAATATTGAAATATGAAAATATTGAATAATAAATAGGAAAATTTAATGTAACTATGCCCCTTATTGGGATCAATTATTTTTGAATTTTAAGCAAAAAAACGACCGGTGGAGAGGCAAATATCATCTGTTTATTCCATAATATCGACATGATCCAGACAATTTACTGAACCCATTATTCATTGTTGGGGACAATTATCAATTTTGCCCTCCATTCACTGCCTATAAATTATTCACATGCAGTAATAAGAGGGGTAAAATGGACTTTTATCTTTGTCGAACCTGTTACCTTACTTTCATTTGCACAAAAGAAGCAGCTATATCTCTTTGCAAGTGGGGACATTGAGTTTATGGGAAAATCGATTTTTTTCAAAACTAGTGCATCCAGACAAGCTCTATATAAGAAAATAAGGAAAAAAGGGAAGGCTCGAGGGCTAACTTATGAAGTCCAAGAGATTTACTTGCCGAGCTCGGCTCGACCGATAGGCTAATGCTAGAGCAAGCCAAGCTGCAAGCCACCCGCGTAAGTCACCCCTACTTGTAGATTTAGTTCGTCACATAGAACTTTTATTTCAACTTTCTTGGATCATAATTTGCTTATTTTGATAGGAAGAAAATTAGAAAAAAATAATAATAATAATTTAACGCCCAAGGGCTCATTCAACTGGACAGCATGCCATGGGATTTCATTTGGACAACCTCATTTCTGTTAAATTCAAACACAATTATTTGATCAATATAAGTAATCAATGTTATGAGTGACTCAAATACATAATAAGTGCCCAATTTTTCTAATGCAGTGGGAACTAAAATATCTTGTTCTCCTCTGATACCATGCCAAATCAATTAATTTAAACGTTTAAACAATGAGAGAGTGAACACGTTTATGTTATTAATTTGTCGACGCGAAAGAACATACTCTCAACGCACTTTTTTCTGTTTAATTCAAGCACAATAAATCAGATCAATGAAAGTAATAAGCAACTTATAAGTAACTCAAAGGATGATTTGTACAAGATGCCTCACAGAAAAAAAAATTGTATCTTCAAGGGGAAAATGGGAGAGCGCCTCGAATCAAACATACACAACAAAATCAGATTCTACACATAAATATAATATATATACTTGGGTTGAACTTTAGGCTCAAAAGATTAGCTCCTCACCATCATTATGATCTGGAAATGTAACACATCTGAAAACTTTACACTTTGAACACAATATGCATCCAGTCTGCAGAGTTTGTGATAGCTGTTAATATATATAGTTGATTCGTATTTTGGAAGAACACAAAACCAGACACAACAACGACAAGAGAAACTATTTTTCTGATATAGAAAATATGGAATCATTTGATATTATTAAGAATATGTACAATAGAACAGTCACGCGTGTGATATGTGGTGTTAGGTTTGCACCAACGTTATGCCTCAAACCCTTATTTTTTCGCAATGGACGAACTTACTGGTCGTATTCAAGATGAGAGGCCCTGATGTACGATGAGGTTTTAATTGATGAGACTAAAAATGTGTAGTCGTACGTTAGAATTTTGAAGTACTTTAAATCTAAGGGAACGAAGTTGGGCAAAAGAAGAAAAGATACCAGCAATGCCACTTTAGTAGTGGTATGAATAAGAATAAAAATGGAGTGGCTATAGATGACTGTTTTGTCTGCAAAAGTGAGTGTTTTTGGTATCCAGGTATGATTATCAACAGATAATGAGTTCTGCTGAACAATGATTAGACTATGGTTCTAAGTTGTTGGGTTTCTAAACGACAAAATGTATTTAAATTGAACATGGTGGAAATGGATGTGGCCATAATAAAATATATAGTACGAGAATATACACTCACAAGTGGAGTGATGACAATGAGTTTAAAGGTCTAGTTCAAGAGGTAAGAGTGAAGTTCTACTTTGTCAGATATCTGAGTTTTGAGTTTTATTTGGGGAAGCATGTGTGAAGTTAAAATAAATGTGGGGTGACAATGATCAGGGAGAGAATTAAGGGACGAAGATTTAAGTGGTTGAGACACGTTTTGTGTAGATTTGAAAAAGTTTAAGAGTGACGTGATCTCAGTATAACCAGTCTAAAGAAGTGAAGAAAAATAATTGATATAGCTGACTCCAAATTTATTGGGAATTAAACTTTCTTTGTCATTGTATTGCAATCAGGATCAAAGAGAAACAATTCTAGATGCAATTTTATTAGATCTTAGCAAAAGATTGAGACCTCTATATTAACTTCTCAGATAAAGTCTCTAACATGCAATGTCTGTCAATGTAAACACACCCTATCTCAAAATGTCACCTAGAACGATTTAAGTAAATGGCGAATGAAGCGACATCTTACAGCTCTACATGCTGGGCAACGACGGTATATCCTATTGTTCTCAGCTTTAACGTTTGTCTTCTGCCCATTACAGAAGTCGCATAGCAACCATCCTCTGCCATTGCAAGATTCACACATAATTCCTGAATCATCCTTTAAAATAAAAAGTTCAAGTGAAGTTAGAGTAACAGCATTGAAGACAGAATTTGCAATAGCAGATTCATGGCAGCATAAAATTCTCTTAGATGTTATGAAGAATCAAGAAGGCACGAGTAAATGTGTCCAGATGCGCCACAAAAATTTGTAACATACAGAATATAAATGAGAGTTCAGAAACAAAAGAAATTCCTATATAATTTCAAAAAACAAAAAGGAAAAATATGAATATCAATTAGGAAAAAATACCATTTTAAAACATAATTCAAATATATCACTTTGAGATACGACTCTGATTAATGATTTCTGTCAGCCAATTCAATTCTCATAAGCCCTTCTATATTTCATACGCGTTATTTTGAGATAAAACAAATTTCAACTCCAATTTCTCTCCGAACTTGGTCCTTTTCTCTAGTTCTAAGAGATGCTTGTGACAGCCTAAAATCGCTACTTTGATTTCAATCAAAACTAAAGCAACCCTCTACAGGACCAAATATTTCCTTTTAAATTTATCTCCTCTCAAGGTGAAAAGTTGAATGCAGTTCAATTATGGAAGTATTGGCTTGAAAAAAATGCGGCATGACTAAAAAGAACTCATGTTCAGAGATCAGTCATTAAGCCAGCATACTAATTACTTTCGTCTGAATTCCCAACACGAGGCTAATAGTTTCAGTCGCGATTTTTGGGAGAAAAGAGTAAATTGATTTTATTGATAAATGTAAACCAAGTATATACAAGACGAAAAAGGAAAATTTGCACTTTAGTCCTTAACAATAACAAAGACTACAAGTTGGTACATGTATTACTATACATTTCAACTCTCCCCCTCAAGTTGGTGCATAGATATCACGCATGTCCAACTTGAATATCATTGTATAGAATTGACCACTAGCAATTCTATGTGTCATTATATCAGCCAGTTGTTCCGACCTCTTGATGTAAGGAACCTCTATAATTTTGGAGTCAAGATTATCTATGATGTAGTTCCTATCAAG